CTAGTGACTCTAACACATCGCCTCTCAGATGTACTCATGGGTTATGCAATTCTGTGGGTGGGCCCTTGACACCGCTTTTTGATCGCGTATAAGATCGATGAAAGAACAGCAACAATCAAAATGTTACAAGGTTAAGGGGTTTAGGAGGGTATATCGCCTTGTCTGAATGACTCCGCGAGCAGTCGGCGGACGATGTGATGCTTGAGAAGTTTACCCTGCTGAAATGCTTAGGGACAGTCATGTAACGATAGCGGGGGTTTTCCCAGGCAGGTATCGCAGCTCTCGGCCTAGCAGAGTGAGTTTTAGTGAATGAAGCCTATCAAAACAATAAGTAGGATGCAATTTGATACCCCCAGTTTGTAAATTAATCCAATGCCGCGACGTACATATTAACGAATAGCTTTGTTGGAATAGAAAAGCAAGAGATACCTTGTTGTTTGTGCAAAAGTGACTCTTGTATCACAGATGAGCCAGGTTGCCTAGTTCAACCTAACTAGTGAGTTTTTGCTTATCGTATTCCACCTGGAGATAAAGCAACCACATAGATTACACAATTGGTTTTTTCTGTCCCTATTTTGTCTCTTTGAACCTGAAATTCATTGGAGGTATTCGGTAGCGTCTTTGCCTTGCTGCTGGTCTTCAGATGTGGACACTAAAGCCAGATGACCAGTTCATGCATAAACTGAGAGATTACGGTACGTGCATTAGCTTGATCTGTAGGTTGGGATAAAACGGCCAACAACACTAGTTGTAGGGCAATGGATATGCGATGTAAGCATAGTGGACCTGTTAACATCTGATACATCGTCAAGAGGGATATGCTTTTTACGCCAGTGCATTCTGCATTATCAAGGTGATCGATAATATATGTCGACAACGTCCGTGTGGAAGGTCAGACAAACGCCTTATTTGGCCTAAAGAATATGCGCCTGAACCAAACTGATGCTGGGGAAGCGATTGCGATTCATGTACCTTGTAGCCCATGCAAACACCAGAGTAGAAGGACACTGTCCACAGGATTGCACCGTAAAGAGCTACAGTTTTCAGTAGCAAAAGTATATGGAGCAGCCACCTTTAACTAACCGACAATTTCTATCATTGTTGAGATGCATCCCATCGCATGTAGATGAAATCCACCCTAGTATATGAGAATCCACCAAGGCGCATTGATATCGTTAGCTTTGAGCATGCCTGTGGTAAGGGATCAACGCTGAAGTAAAGGAGGAAAGTAGACCGCTTGTTTGAGACAACAGAACACAGTAGCGACGCGAGCAATAGAAGTTATTCAGCGCAAATCGCTAGAACACCAGTCCATGTGCTGTAAAAGCTATCACACGTCACGTACACGGACGGCTGATACCAGAGCAACCCGCATGTACCCGAAAGCGAATCAGCTCAAGACCGAGAAATAGGCACCCCGCCAGTAGAAATGCACGCAATAGACTGTTGACTTACTAAACCGTTTAAAGTGCGCGACCTTTTATGTGAAATAGATTGTTTGTAGAAGTCCAGCCCAACACTTGCTCTTTCGGAGGGCCATGTTGCAATTTCTTTATTGTTTTTACATCCTACTTCTACTATTGCAATACTGCTATTACGATGTATGCATGACGACGATTCCAGAGAACTTACATATGGTCCGTTTCTTTGTGCCTGATTATTTGAGTTACTTAAGGTAAAAATTATGGGTTGTTAGGTTTATCACTTTTGCCTTTACTGTGATGCACATTCCTACTTGAGCATAAAGGCATTCTGATGTTCGATTGCGGAAGTAGAGGCTGGACTCTGGTGAGCAACTAGGTATGTGGTGTTGATGCTACCCAAAAGGACACGAGTTTGCTTGAGTTCGTGGACAGGATTGATCCCACAATAGAATCGACCATTTGGCTTCGTAGGGTAGGCGGCAGACATTCATAAGTTAGGTTCAACTGCAGGCTGAGAGTTGGCTAAGATTTTTGTGTCCTTTCCGTTTCTAGGATACTAAGGAAAACGCCGCTTGGTATTAATTGCTTTTTATTGGCCAGGAGAAAATCGTATTACACCGTAGAAATTTATCGAATGCTATGCCTGTCAAGAACTACTACAGTGGAGTGACCAACCATACTCACTGTCTCTCTGAATTGGCAAACTATCACTCCAAGACCGGATATTCATTGTTTAGTAAAACACGCGAAAATAGTGTGTTAACCGCTCGGAGTACTTGCAGCACCACACACAGACGGAACTAGCATTATATCGGTTAGCTAAATTTCATAACCGACCGAAGCCTTGTTGCTTTGGTTCCGGCTCGGAAGCCAGATATGGCTGAGCATGTCTATATGATACCATACGTGATTTTCCATTGAAACAACTAGAACTCGGAACTTGCTTTCGAAGCGAAACACGCGCACCGGATTGTACGTTATCATACTTGGCTGACTAGCGCCGTAGTCAAACAGCGGAAAAAGTTAATGAGAGATTCGTTGGAGGATCATATGAATATATTTAATCTACTCTGTAGTTTACAGCACGAAAGGATTTTCGTGTATAAAGACTTTATTGGTTTCTCGTGAGAGTTGGGCTGATGTAGTGAACAATGGCCACGGAACGGGCGCACATTTCGTCGAATTCTCGAACGCACTTGACACGGTAACTCACGTAACGCTATCAAAAAAGCTAAACTCTTACAGTGTATCTGGGCGTGCCTTTCACTGGGTGTCTGCGTTCTTGCAGGCAGGAGGACAGTGTGTACGCGTAATTTGCTACTAATCCTCTAGGCAAGTGCATTTTCGCAGTGTCCCACAGGGTTCGGTCGTCGGACTGATGCTGTTCTCCATCTACGTAAACGATCTCCCTGAGGAGCTCGGTGTAGCGTTGCTATTATTTGCTGATGACCTAAAGGTGTGGAATATTGTGGATGACCCTAGGGGTGCTGATCCTATTCAACATATCCTGGACGGGCTCTGAGACTAGTCTACGTGGTTGCTGCCTATTAATCAGGCTAAGTGTTTCGCGTTGCTTTTAGAAGCAAATTTCCCACTTTCGTGATGTATGCTCTGCGGGATCGAACTCACCCTTGTCTCCAGTCAAACTGACCTAGAAGTCGTCCATTCCTCGACTTCGCATTCAAACGACAATTTGAAGAAGGGTGCAAGTAGGACGGTCCGAATAAAATGGTTAATGCGCTGTTCTTTCGGAGTCCTAATAGTCGACATCTTTGTGAAGCTGTTTTCAGCTTTCGTTTGGACCCACATAAAGTATTGCATCTAAGCCTGCTCGACCTTCCTGGTTCGGGACAAAATGGAGCTCGGGGGGTTGCGAGTAGGCACCAAAATGGTCGAGAGGTTACGGGGTACATGTATCCCGAGTGTCCATTAACTTAGTTCTGCATTCAAGGTACTTGCAACAGCACGAAAAAACCTGATCCTCATTTACCGCATTTTAATTGAAAAGCTTAGACCGGACTAGAGCTGGCTACTTAGCCCGGCTAACTTGCTTTGTCTTCGCGGTCATCACAAGGAGCTACACAAGCCGCTTTCCGACCGGATCAAGGCGGAATACAGTTTATAAGGTGGAATTATCGAACGCTGGAACTCGCTTCCAGAATTTGTTGTCAACAAAAGTATGGTTTAGGATCTTGAGCGTCAAACAGACACGCTTGCGTGGCAGTACACAAGGTTTCCCTGCTCCTGACCGTATTCATCTTCCTGGTTTGAATTCATGCGCTTTGCTTTTATTCAATCCTTGGTATTATTCTCCATTTAAAGAATTTTTCCCCTTTATCTTCTGTTTTCTTCTGATATCTTTCTTACCTCATGTGACCGGCACAGCGGTGACTGCTGGTGCACGCAAAGTGGGCAGTACTTGGTTGACTAGGGTGCTGTTCGGGTATTTTATTTTAGATACACCAACAACTCGGAGTACCTTATCATTTCCTGGTTCAACAATCCGTTCAAGAAGGAACAATCGAGGGTTTTCCTACCGCTGCAGTCCCACCTGAATTTGAACGTTGACCAGTGGGAATTATGCGTTCAAGCCAGTCCAGGGAATGGGAAACGCATGTAATCCCAACAACAAAATAGTCCAGGGTCTCTTCGGCTACAAAAATACAGTCAGTGTTTACCGAAAGTGGGGCCAAATTTTTGGGAACCCGACGGTTTGTGCTTGTAGCAACTTACCACGCGGAAGTGCACGGAATGATGGACACACATTATCGAATGCCATCAATGCACAGCGTGCAGTAGGATTTAACAGATATTACTGAAAGTTCTGATTAATTAGTCCGGGATCGTAAGAGCAGGCTGAATTAGCTCCAGTAGGTTTCTGAGTCGCACACATATTGAATGTTATGGATAGAATGTGTTGGTTGCTATCCCCTGAATGGCTAGGCCCAAGACAAAAAGTGCGCTTGTTTTGATGAATCATTAGATCACGCACAAGCGTTATAGAGAAGTACAAAATTGGCTTTGGTATACAACGATCTAATCTGTCCGGAATGCAAAGGAAAGGAAATGAGACAATAGTTTTCACAGACGAATGGTCAACGTGGTTGACGCTTCGTACAGATTATGCCTGTTTCACATTGGAATGCATTATACAAAAGTACAGGAAAGCGATATAGGAGTTGTGGCCCGTGATTCACACAATACATGGGGAGTTTAATAAGTGCAACTCACAGGTCGCTGGTTGTGTATGAGGGGTTGGAATGTGGATGAATCGACTAACCAAACTAGCAAATGTAAGGAGTTGTGACGGTGCACTACGCACCGGTGGGTATGAAGATGCCTGCCACCTGCATTTTTGCTGGGTTCCATGATGCCCAACATGTTGGAAGAATGAACATTCTTCCGGCTAGGGAGCACAACACATAAGCTGGGGAGAACTCAAGTGTATATGGCATTGTTAGATATACTGTACTCTAGGTTTGGGGAGGCGTCCGCTGGCAGCAATGCAATGTGGCTGTTTGTGAGTAAACTAATCTCTTCCGATTGAATTGCCTTGCGGGAAAGATGGGGTCTAGGCTACATGGTGGAACACTTTTCGGTTGCTTCCGATATGAGTTTTCCGGGTACCTCGGTCACTTTGTTGGCAATCTCTCTCATGTTCTCGGGAAGCATATCTGAACACAGCGGACAAAAGAAACACATAAACGCATTAATCTCAGCGACTTTCACTTAAGTGAATGAGACGTTTACAAAGACATTATGGATTGTATCATCGGAGACTATGCGTCGGACACAAACTTCATGTATGGACAAGATGGTAATTATAAGGCGTAAAAGTTCCTTTTTGCTAGCCGCCAACTAAGCGACTAAGGAAAAGGAGAACTGTGAGCATAACCGCTGTTATCAAAGTACGACCGGTTGGAGCTTTACAGCTAATCTGGACCTGTGGCCTGATCGCATAAGACATAACATTTGAATGCTGCCTTGCCGAAAGTCGGTTGAACGGGAACACTATTGACTCAACACATTTATCTTAAGCAGATGTGTGTAAGTAACTTTAACGTCATCAAAATTTAATGGCGTATGCACCACCATGCATTGAACGATGAAAGACCGTCGAGCGGTTCCTTAGAGTTCTCAAACAGAGGTTATATTATTCTGCTCTCTTTAGCTTCCAGTGGTACATTTGTTTGTCCAAGTAGAAAACTCTACTTACATACTGTACTTGGTTGCAGCCCGAAAATGAGTAACGCACGGCGCAGCTGATACTACCGGGATGTAGCATTTCTGAGGAAGAAGGTAATTATGTACACAATTTCATTCAGCGTAACAGAGCACTAATTTATCTCGATGAGGATGATTATTGCGTGTACACTAAATGGTCATACAACATATAGTGTTTGTCATCCCCAAAGGAGATCTAATACGAATAGGCTGCAAAGTTTAGCACTGAACCAGTGAGGCATAAACGTAACCCCAGTTAGCTGCTCACATCAAATTTGGTGCCACCGCCAAAACGGTACCACGTCTTCGAATTTCTTCATGCATTCTTCTACTCTCAGCAGCGCAAAATGATAGCATGAATGGGTTTGCACGTTACTGGATGCTAATGCTAACTAACTATCTTGGGATTCGTAAGGATAAGTGAATGATTTAATGGTTACTATACTATTGAGCTTAGCCCGTAAAACTTAATACTGGGTAATCTAACATAGAACAGCAATGAATCGGGGAACCGGTTTCCTTGTGCAGACACTCAGGAACTGGCGGAGTATAGGATGGCAAAATCCCAGGATTTAACTTTTACCGAAATCGATAACATATTCGTTAACCCATTTCAGTTCACAAACAGATGACAGAAATCCAGATGCACATACCAGCTGGAACACTCAACCGAATGAGTCCGGTCTATGCGAAATACTGTCTGCAGGCTGAACCCAAACGTAGGTTCAATGAGGCACAAAAAGCGACACTTCTCAACCATCTGACTGCGAAATCAAGGTAGAGGTTGACGTACAAATGCAAACTACGCTATCAGTATGCATAACTTCACACGCACACAATGAGAAGATATGTTAAATACCATGAATTCGCTTTTGCTTCAGCTGTAAAGTTTACGATTTCACTGTTTCCAATTACGGTCTAGATTTATCTATACTTCAATGAATTTGCTACATGTGCTCACTTGTAGCATGCATAAGTCTTGATTATGAATGGACATGAAGAAAAAAGCAGTTGTGGTCATCTACGTTCTAGCTAATTCAAACAAACCTTCCCGGGTGGCTTGTCAAATATTGGCTTCTTTTACCTTTTTATACCAATGTTACGTTTTTCCATACTCTTTTGCCATAACGGAGTCCCATTGAAAGTAGTATTAAAATGGTCAGTATATAGGGAACGGATCTACCAAACAGACCACAAAACCGGGCTTCATTGATCCGTGATACCTTTTACCACCTTGACACCATGACGGCAAAGGTCATGTTAGACCTATTTCATTTCGTTATAGCATAAAACTACAAGTCCTGTTTAGTCCAAGTAGTAAACAACTGTGTTGAGAATCCTCATGAAAGAGTCAATCTCAGAGTCCTACAAACATGTTTGCAAAGACAGGACAAAGTTAACTCAAAACTCACTTGTTATTGAATTTTCCGCCTCCTCAGCAGCAGTGGCTTCAGCTGCCAACTCGGCGGCCGTTTTTCGCTTTCTCCCAAGTCGTCCTTCGGGACTTGAAAAATCCAGTTCGTTGAAATTTTCCTCTTCTTTCTTCTTAATTCCATACTGGAATTAAAGTAAGTTTGTTGCAGATCGACCCCAGTACTCTATTGTCATGGGGTTACAAGTGAATGTGCTACCACTCCACCTATGTTGGACTCCAATCGCAACGTCCGACGGTTAATCGTGTGCTTCACAGCAATTGTGGCAAAAATACAAGATGCTTTGGTCATCCAGGCCGTTGGCATTTTATTGAATCCTATGTTCAACACTGTAGTTTAACAATTAGCTGCTATGGGATTTGGTTTTACTATGGAATGAAAGGTTATGGTTTACTGTTACTATGTCCCATGCTGGTCAATTGCATTGCTACTACACGGCTTTGGTTTCCGTCGCCCTACTTTATCAGGTATTGGTGGTGATTGACACACACCTTGCTCTATTAAGAAGAAAATATTTCCCATCGGTCGCATAGTTATTGCGTTTCATCCTTTCACGAATTAAGTCCGCTCCAACTTTCCGCTACGCAGTCATCATGTACGCTTCAAAAGCAGCTCAATTTACAGCTTACAGTGGACCCTGTTTTACTGAATTCTTCTCCGTTGATCGTGCTTTTAGTAACCCAAGCTCTTTTAGCTCGCCTAGTGCTCACACCCTTTGTATGCTTACCCAGATCTCCCAGCTGTAAAATTGCACTACCCGACGAACTATTAGTTAATTCTAATGATCATTACTAATAAGACACCAGTCATTTTCTGGATTCCGATTGCATACGCACATCGTTGGAATTCATTCACTGCGAGTTGAGTTACAAGACCCAACTTCAGGCGAACCCGTATCCATCGATAAAGCAGCCCAATTACTTGTGTGTTCTGTCTGTGCTAAACCCATTTGCAATAAGCAAGGACAAATGCATAAAGGTCACCCAGTCTCGACCTCGCTTTATCGGACAGAGAAACTGGTCCCCTGTAGTCGTAAACGTGGTAAACCGAAATGCCACTGGGTGGTAAATACATGGTATTCCTTCTCTAACTGTGTCACAGCCTTACATGTTAATTGCACCCGAGTAACTCAAGTAGAACCAAAATGGTACAATAGTGCGACTGATACGCTCTTCTTTTACCTGGTGTGCAGATCCATGTCAATTGTAAGTGCGTAGTTGCGTTTATGAAAAAGGTAGGAAACTGACTAAAACAATTGCGCACATGGCGGGATCATGTTTCTTGTCATCAGAATCCGTTATACTCACGACTGATAGAGCGTAGAGCCGTTGTAACAAAGACCACCTCACCGGACAGTGTATTAACCAAACATCAAGTTTAACGACACTGGTAAGATAGCCGACAAAATAAGGTAGTTGAAATGGGTGTGTCAGATCGGAGACCTGATACGTATGAACCCAAACAGAGCGGTGGGTTGGAATATTCATGGCTAGAGCCGCGTGACGACCTACCACTTTTAATGCACCAGATCGCCGGGCATAACATCTAATAGAAAACACACTGTTCTCCTGGCTCGTAGGAATGAAGTGCAAGGTTCGCCTGTAGAGTTGTGTGTATTGATCTCCGACTCTGTAGGGCTTTGCTGGGTTCCCAAAGCTCACCACGTTTTAGTATTTCAAACGTGTCCAGCGGCAACTCGAAAATGAAAGAGACTGTGTGGTAAATTCGTCGTCTGTGTAACTGATTGATGTGCTGAACGAAAGACATGGATCCGATAGCCACCACAGTGCCATTCATGTTTCGTACCACTGCTGAGTTTGATGTTTCGGCCTTTTTTACAACAGGGACACCGGTTTCCCTTGTAGATAACTTCTGCTCACATCTGAAGCAAGCGGCCATTGCGTAACACTCTAGTGTATTGAGTCAGTTCGAAGATGTATCACACATTTAACCACTGCTTCGCTGGAGATCCGCCGCCTGTTGCGGCAGACTTAGGAGCGGCCCTATAACTTGATAGGAACAACTGTATGAGTTACTCTGTCGTCAATTCATCCCGCAGTTTTAGAAATGAACTAATTGTTATGCCTGCCACTTGGAATGATGTTACGCTGGAGGCGACCTAAAACGGTTGATGCTGTGGCGCAGACAGGAAGGATTAGATTACTCGTAAATATATTGTGCACCGTTGTCGGAAACCAAAGTGTTCGGTGAGCCCAGCTGCGCAAATAATTGTTGTAATTTCCATACTATGGACGCTGTCTAGATAGTTTAACCTAGGTAAAGTTCCGGCTACTTGAGGTAGGCACCGTTTAAATCAAGAGGTACTGACTTTGCACAGGGTAAACGAAACCAACTTAAATTATCTCCCAAGTCTCTAAGCTTGGCATCCAAGGCCGGATGATTTGGCTTGGACGTTGAAGCACAACTGCTAAATCTGGCGACACACCTTTGCATGGCAATGTATGAGTATGAGTAAAGCCCAGTTATTACTTGCATCCGTAGTATTCCGGGACGATGTTTGTGCGCATATCACAATATCGGTGGCTGCAGGGACTTCAGAACAGTGATATGTCCACTGAACATCACACAATAGTCGACCAGTGCCAACGATTCACGTCGACAAAAGTACTGGATATGTGTGTCAGTAATCCGGTCTGGCCATTTCGTGTTCAAAAAGGGATAATTTTTGCAAAATGGGTCGAGATTGCTGTGCTCCTTAATGTCCATAGAAACGATAAAAAATGCTCTGATTGAATTACACAGTAGCACTAGCAAGCCGATTCATGTGCAACTGGCACGATCACCTGCTCTTTCTCTATGCTCTGCTGTTTTGCGAAAAGCCAAAAGTTCGCATCATCGTAGCTGAAATCTGCCGTAGGCATACGACCTATGGTAAAAGCGTATCATAAAAACAGTGTCGCCCAATGTTGGAAACGACTAACTAAGTACATTGGTTTCCCCCAGTTTGAACCGAAAATGGTAAATGGTGGTTTACGAGCAGTCTCAAATACTCCCCTGGAAACGACGATAATGTCAGATGCGGTATCCTGCCTTAGGCGTATTGAGTGATTACTGATTGTAACGGTGATGAAATCACAAGGTGGAGAATTCTTTCCTGTGCAGTTGGATAGACCACATTATACTTACATTTGTTTCCGCGTAGCTAACAGTTTTGACTGGCCCCCAGGGAAAGAACGTCGTGCTTCAAATCGGCAATGGGTTTTTTATGGCATTTATTTTGGCGGACTGCGCACTGGTGGCTGATGAATGGACAGTTACTGGCAAAACGCTAGTCACCACACTTCCAACAAACATTTGGGAGTTCCTGTCGAGCAGAGTAGAAACTACATCAACCATCGTGATATAGGAGTTTAGTTACCTCGACTTCAACATTTGTGAGTCACTTTGTCCTTTGACCAGACATTGACACATTGCAGGAACGTCCTGATTGGCAGACTCTAGAGATGAGTCCATTTCGAACGTAAGACTTGTTCTGACTTCTGCTTCAGATGCATAAATTAATCCGGAAGAAGAGTAATTATGTGAATTGCTTTTTTGTAGACTGTTTAAGCTTACAATGTTCGCACGAGTGGTTCACTCAACCGCATAGGAAACCTAATCCCTGGATTGATTTTTCGCCAATTTCCAACGCTGATAACGGATTTTGAAAATGATTGACTTTCGCCAGAAAGTTCGAAATTCTCTTGGAAGCTGCAGTCGTGGGAGAATTTCGGTAACATAACCTTATATTAAGTGCTTGGTTCATTTGCATCAAGCTACCATTACAACAACCGTACTTTGGACGTATGGTCAAGCTAGATCGCGTCAACCAGAATGATATCCTCATATTGCCTGCGAAAGTGATCCCGTTCTCTGCATCATACTGTAACCATTGCATTCCGTTTGCCAACGCTCCAGGTTAAATGAACTCGGTGGTGGGCATAAGATTTGGTGATGGCAGTTATTTCATACGTGTGTGCAACAACAATTTTGGTCTTAGTTGGTATTGAAAGAAGCCCAGCCCGCTCTAGCTGCTAGAGAGAATCTTTTTGTTATGATGGCAACTGGGTTAGCTGTGAGTGATCAACCATCTCCGTCGCCAGTGTTACAATCGCGGGTGATGTGGAGAAGTGCCGCAAGTGTAGTAACAAATACGTCAATTCCCACGATACTGGCAAAACAGTCATCTCACAGGATCGGCGACTTGATTCGCATCTACCCCCGTAGAGTAGCGGGTGAGAGTGATATTTATAGCTGAAGCCACGCAAAGACAGGATACATTTAACTTATGGCCGGTGCGGTTCTCTCGCAGTCACGTAGGTTCCCACACGTCTGGAAAATCACCAAGCAGCTGTTTCAACCTTCTGGGTCTCGTCAGTGCTGCACGTTCCTCGGTCCCCTGCTAGGTTCCCACCCAAGACTTCCGAATGCCAGCAGCTTGTACCACGACGAACTATATCCAAAATTACATCAAAATCCCACCACGCATTAGTTCTTATACATTTAATGCTCCGGGTCGCTAGGCCTAACAGAATCGGACAAAAACCATCCTGATTCCCAGCAACACCCTGTGAGCTCTGTTCCCAGGTCAAAAGGTAATGTTAGTTTTCTAACCGCCCCCATTATCTGTGCCACTTACTTTGACAGATCCTCACCTTTTCTTTCTTATTCTTCTTTCAGGATGGCTTGGACCATTGTACGAAATTCAAGGCCACAGTTGTTACAACTCAGAGTAGGAGGCAATCATGTACATAAGAAACCGCGTGAGGTACTCATCGGTCGCCTCGTTGAAAATGCGGGGAGGGACAAGTGTAAACAAGTCTTCTGCAACGAGCAGAATCGGTACGGCGCAGCTTTTGCTTCCACACCCAGTGCCGTCTGCTAAACGACCGAAATCATCAACAACTCTCGAATGGACAGTGCGCTAACTCTCGTGTGCACGAACGTTCCCATGTCCGAATATGGTACTTCAAAAGGTTAGTTGCTGGACGAATGCAACCATGTGCGATGCGATCGGTATACTGGTTGAATCCACTATGTTCAGGCGCATAGCGTTCCACAACACTTCAATTCACGACTGGGAACCTCGAACACTAAAAGTAAGTCAAATGGTCAGACGAGATA